GATTCAATTAGAGTCTATAATTTATCAGCTTGATTGACTCATATAAATTAACTAAACTGAGTAATAGTTTTATTTGTATAACATGTGTAAATATATATTACTTTATAAGATCATTATTTAATTGAAAGATAAAGCCTTATCATTAGAAAAAAACAAAGACTTAATTTTTGAACTATATCCAAGACTTTTTTAAATCATGTTCAATATTTAAACATCCACATGTTCAAGAATGTCACAGCATATTCAAACTTCAAAAATTAAAATATTAATTTAAAAAATATATGATTATATATTTTTTATAGTGCTGAATATTTTTTATTTAGAAGTTAAAATAGGTTAATAAAAATTTGGAATAATTTTAATTTACAAAAAGTATCCGGACTATCATCCGAACGATCAAAATTGGTACACATTTTCTGGGTGCATGTACGTAACGGTAATAACTTTTAAATTTACACTTTAGAATATAAAAAGAATGATATATCGACAAACCGACTAGTATGTTTAAAGAAATGTCAATATCACTTGATTTGTTTTAATTAAAATATATAATTAAATTACGTATTAAAAACTTAATATTACCTCTGATTCAACTGTATTGTAATAAAAAATACAATTATAATAAAACGCACCTACGTATGGTGGTTTTGCACCTATTATATATTTTTTTGTTTTTTTTTAAAATTTTGTTTTTATAAGTTTTGTATATAAAATTTTTAACACCAATTTTTTCACGTTAAAATTAATATTGTGGCGTAGAACTGTTTTACTTAGAACACCTCACACCGATTAATTCGAGATAATGTATGCATAAGTGTAAAACACCACAGGTGCGTTTTAGTAAAATTCAAAATATGCTGTCACCAAACTAACCAAATCCAGAACATAATAAAATCGTCTCAAATCCCAATTCCAAATTCTGAATCCTAATCCCAAACCAAGTCCAGACAACAAATATAAATATGATTTTACCGGGTGTTTGATAAGTCTCTAGACAGGCTTTTTTAATCACTAGATGCTATTATGCTATATATATATATATATATAAAATACGTAATAATTACGTAGTAATCGTTATAGTCTTTTATATAATAAAAGCTAATACGTACTGTCTTTTCACCAATACTTTATCGCTATTTAATTAGTCGCATGTAACTTTTTGAGAGAAATTTTTAAACGAATCAAAAACGTAACTTTTATCAATTTATTAATTTATGTGTTTCGTACAAATGCCCATTCTAAATGCGCACACTTTGTGGTTGAATTATCTTTATCAAAGGCAATACGTTAGTTCACAATTTATAATCGTCATTGTACGTAATATCGGCACGCTCACTGATTAGCGAGGAAATGGGATGGTGAGTCTGCACAAGGATAATTAGTACTATGATGATCCTTTTACTACGCCACACTAATGAACATCGGAACATCGGTTATAAAAAGATTTATTCAATTTTTGGTTTTCTAGAAATATACTTATAGATTACCGTTATTACTAGACTTTCCTTTAACCACCTTTTAGTATTATGCCTTTGAACTACGTAAGCATTTGTATCGCTCTTTACGATTACACTGCTCAAAACGACGATGAAATTTCCTTTAAAGAAGACGACATACTTTATATTTTAGAAAATGACGACGATGAATGGTGGAAAGCTAAATTAAAGATCGAAAAAAGTGAAGACGATGAAAATGCACCAGAAGGTCCGATCGGAATTGTGCCTAGCAACTATATCCAGGAGGTATGCCTTTGAAGCTTTCAATGGGCTAGAAAATAGTGCATTTAGCTTATTGTGTTTGAGTTATATAGATCTACTTATTAAAAATCTCGCTTGTTTAACAATTAATTGTATTTAGGCTGAATGTAAAAGTGTTTTGAAAGCTGTTTACGATTACGAAGCACAGTCAAACGAAGAATTGTCATTCAAAGAAGAGGATATATTCTACTTATATGACAAAGATGACCCTGATTGGTACTTGGTTAAATTCAACGATGTATTTGGCTATGTTCCAGCAAATTATATCGAAGAGGTTAGTAAAAAGTAATCAAATTTAAAAGATTATCAGTTCAATTTAATTTTTGGTTGAACGCATAAATATGTAATTGATTAATCATTATTTTTGATCCATTTCTTTTATAGACATCGTTTGATTCTGAGGAACAAGAACTACAAGAAAATCAAGAACCCAAGAAAAAAATGTCACTATTTGACGCTTTATCGGTATATATAAAAGCATTTATCACACATTACAATTTTTTACTTTTTTTCAGATTCATAAAAATTTTTTCTCATCTTCAGAGCGCATCCGAAAACAAATACGTAGATCCATTACAACTTTATGCTCGTAAAGTTGCTACTCAAAAAAGTGGCACGTCAAAATCGGGTCCTGCTGCTAAAACATGGTCGGTTTCGGTAATGTATTTTATTTTACGTTTCGAATTTTTTGATATGCTGTATAGTCGCGAAATAACTATCTCTACACGTTATTTTATCCACCTGATGTGTTACTTTGGAGTTAAAGATCTAAATTTTGAACCTAATTATACACCTATCAAATCCACTAACACATGTTATAGAAAGTGTGTGTTATTTTCGGGATATGCATGAGCGTCATTTTGAATTTAAATATGATGTTTTTAAAGAATACAATTTCCGAAATAATATTCACGATCGGTAGAGGTTGGAACTGGTTTTAATATTTCAGGTTTATTACGTGAATTTTGTGATATTTTAGAATTTAATGGATTAAATCTAAAATATCACAAAATTCACGTGATAAACTCGAATTATTAAACCGATTCCAACCTCTACACGAGAGTTACTTCGCGACTGTGCGGTAGTTAAATGGGTAGATTTTAATATTTTACATTTATTTAGGAAGTTATTGTAGTTGATAAGAAGAAAAAGAAAAAGAAGGGTAAACTTAGTATTGGAGGCGAAAATGTAATTTACACTAGTGAAACAGACAAGGTATTTCATTCAAAAATGGTAAAAATAAAAAATATGATTTATATCAAATTTTAAATCAGTAATTTTATGTTCACATTCAGACTCCAGTTCAACTTTGGAATATTAGTGATGTGGAGAGTGTCAAATATGAGAAAAAAAATGTTACAATAACATTTGGTGGTGCAAAGCAAGCAACATTTAATTTTCAGGTATCAAATAAAAGTGATGCTGAAGCTATTTATCGACAATATGTGGAATGTACCGCAAGTTTAGAATTGCCAACTGTTAATATTGACACAAGCTCTATGAAATCTCCACGACCAACTTCAACACATGATAACCAAGATAATGAAGAAACTGAGTCACAAGCTGACGCTGAAGAAAATGATGTAGAAGAAGTTAATGTAGAAGAGGTTAATGTAGAAGAGGTTAATGTAGAAGAGGTCAATGAGATGGAGTTGCCATCACCAAAACTTGGCATTGCGTTATATGACTTTGATGCTCAAGGCGACGATGAGATCTCAATCCGTGAAGGTGATGACCTTTGGATTATTGATGATGTTAGTAGCAATGAATGGTGGAAGTGTCGTAAAGGTGACGAGGAAGGCATGGTACCCTCTTCTTATATTGATGTAAGTATAAACTAAAATTATTCAATGGTTCATATATGTAAATAGCTCATTGTGGTTAATTGTTCTTTTACAGATACCAAATGAAGATGGCAATGCTGACCAATATGCTGCTGAGGAGGAGCGTCAACGGTTAGAAGAGGAAGAATACCAAAGGGCAGAAGAAGAACGATTAAGAAAAGAGGAAGAACGGCTGAGAAAGGAGGAAGAACGACAAAGAAAGGAGGAAGAACGTTTGAGAAGAGAGGAAGAACGACAGAGAAAGGAAGATCGACAAAGGAAAGAAGAAGAACGTCTGCGACGTGAAGAAAGTGAAAGAAAACGAAAAGAATTAGAAAGACAGTTATCAGAAGAAAAGAAACGAAAGCAGGAGTCTGAGTCCCCGCCACCACAACCGCCAGCATTACCAAGTAGGACTAGCTTTAGTAGTATTCATCTTTTCATATTTTCCATACTTAACTTTTTATAATATAACAGCACGTCCACCTGCTAAATCGAAGTCTTCTTCAGGTATGCTAATCTTTATTATATAACCTACTCTCTCTTTCTTTTTTTTTTTTTTTTTTATATATATTTTATTCATTTTGATTTGATTTGCAATTCGTAGACGAAGCAGCTATAAAGAAAATACAAACACCAACAAATCGCATATTGCCTGACAGACCAGCCCAAGCTCAATCAAAAGATAGTATGTTATTAGTATATTGTTAATTACTATTTAAGTTTTACAAGCTAAATTCAATTGACGACGTTTTTTTTCTTTTTTTTTATCAATCAAAGAACCACTTCCGTCGAATACAAGACTTTGGACAGACAGAACTGGTTCATTCCAAGTTGAAGCCGAATTTCTTCAACTTAGTGACGGCAAAGTGCATCTCCATAAACTTAATGGCATAAAAATTGCTGTTCCCATTGATCGAATGAGCAAAAAGGACATTGCATATCTTGAGGGAGTAACTGGAGAAAAACTAGATGACAGATCTGATAACATACCTTTGGCCGCTATTGTTGCTGGACATAAAGGCAAGACGACCTTAACAAACAAAAATAAATCAGAATATGATTGGTTTGACTTCTTTCTTAAGGCTGATATCACGCATGATGATGCGTTCAAATACGCTAAAATATTTATCAACGAGAATATGGATGAGAGTTCAATAAATAATTTAGATCGCAATGTAATGAAAGAACTTGGCTTAAAAGAAGGAGATATAATTCGAGTAACTAAATACGTTTCTGAAAATTATACGTCTGTTAAAAAGAAAACTGCTATTGGTGAAAGTAAAGAAAGAGAAAAGACAGATAGGGAAATTGCCAAAAAAGTCCAGGTATTATGATATAATTTCTATATAACTATTCTTTTTAATGACAAGTATCGTCATTTAACAGTTTTTACATTTATTTGAACTCTTCTCATAAAGTTTGAAGAACTCGAAAAATCACAAAAATTGTCAGAATTTGACTTAAAGATGCAACTGAAACGTGATGAACAATTAGCCAGAGAACTTCAAGAAGAAGAAAACAGAATAGCACGTAGTGAAGGAAGAACAATCCCAAAGGATGCCGATTTATATGGCAAAGGGACTCTAGACTCGCTCATTCAACGAGATGATAAAGCAAATTCACCAAAAACTCCACCATTACTTTTTTCTGAAAACAATGGCGTTTTAAAAAATAATACGAAAAAAGCCCGTCCTACGCCCACAAAGACAGCACCAATTCAAGTTGATGCGAAAACTTTTGTGAATAGCAAGAATTCTAAAGACCAAATTGATTCTGCTTTTAAGCCATCTTCAAAGTCATCGTCTTCTACGACACAGAAATTCGATGATGATGCTTGGAGCTTTACTGACTCAACGCCTGCGTTAATACCTGCTACTAAGGTGGTTCCACCTCCACCTCCGCCTCCTCCACCAGTAATCACACCAAGACCTCCTCCAGTAGTCGCACCAAGATCTTCTCTAAATGAACAATTAACTAGTAAACAATTAATTAGTACAAATGCTCCTACTAATTTGAATACTAGTGCTTGGACCTCTTTAAGTCCCGCTGTTTCTCCTTATTCCAGTAATTCATCACTTCCTGTCCAATCTTCTCAACCTTTACTACAACGAAATTTGATCACCCCATCTCCACCACCTTCACAACCAATCGCTGTTCCATTGAATTCTACCCTTCATCAACCTCTAATTCCAGTTAAATCTTCAAGTTGGAACAATACAAGTAGTATGTAAAATTATTTTTAACTCATTGAACTTAATAGTTTTAATGACTTACTACTTCTTACATATATAGATTTATCTATGTTGCCAACTAATAATGCTTTATCGAATCCTAACCATGGATTTGGCCAAACCGGTATGAATATGACTACTACGACAACTGTCCAATTTTAACCCATTGAACTCATGATTTTAATGACTTACTACTTCACAAATGTAGGTTTATCTATGTTGCCAACTAATAATGCTTTATCAAACCCTAACCCTGGATTTGGCCAAACCGGTATGAATATGATTACTACGACAACTTTCCAATTTTAACTCATTGAACTTATGGTTTTAATGACTTACTACATCATACATATATAGGTGTATCTATGCTGCCAACTAATAACGCTTTATCAAATCCCAACCCCGGATTTGGCCTAACCGGTATGAATAACCAATATGTGACTACTACGACAACTGTTCAATATCAACAAACAACCTCGTTTCACCAGCCCATGCAGAATCAGCAACAAACAAATTCAGCAATATATGATCCTAAAAATGTGTTTGCTTCCATGAAGACTGGACAAATTGGGCCAAAATCGCTACCTAATGATTTAAGCGTGAATGGTAGTTATTAACGAACCACTCATATCAGATTTACTTTATTTCATAAATTCTTACTCTATATATACATTTAGCATCGAATGACAGATATGCTGCCTTGAAGCAAGTGGATCTCCAAGGTCCAGGTGTTTTCAATAGTACATCATCATTCCAAACACAAAGTACATATTTGATCAATTTTACATTAATTATTTGATTTCATTTTAGCCGTTCTAATAGTCATTGTCTTTTCAGGCTCAACAAGTTTTGGTTTAAATCCAAGTGGATTCAATACTAGTCCAGCAAATTGGAATCAGGGCGTTCCTCAGCAAAACCAAAATTTTGGCGTAGGAGGTATCCAACCTAATCCAGGGTTTGGTTTTGGACAACAACCTGGTCAATTTGGATCTAATCAGCAAGGATTTGGTTCTAATACTGGATTCAATAACAATCAGCAATTTAATAACTTTGGTCACCAAAAATAGGCAGTGTTGGCTACACCTTTTATGGTATCAATCAACTGATATATTTTATAGGATCATATATTTTTAGTTAAATGAATATCTAAATTTTATATATAAATGTATAAAAAATTTTATCTCGGTTGGAAAAAAATATTAAATATTAATTTAAGATTTAAATATATATTTTTGGTTTTTAATAATTTTTTGTACAAAATAGTTAAAAATAAAGTTAATTTTAATTTAAAAATCTAGTATAAAATATTTTAAATAATATTGTATATGATTGGTTTGATTTAGGGTTGATGGTGGAGTTCGATAGAGCTACAAATGAAACCAACAAAGCTTTAAATAAAGACAGTTTTTTGAGCTTTATTAATATAACTATTTAGTTTTATTGGTTTTATTGTCAATTTTTGGTTTTATTTTTAGAGATTTATTTTATAGTGCTATAGTACTATATATGATGCTAGAATATTGGCAAAAATACTATTCCTGATGGATCGGCAATACCGATCTTGATGGAGTTAAAAAATTTTTTATTTGAGTACTGCTCCTGATAGGGTCCTAAAAACGAACCCTAATCCTAACTTTTTTCATTATAGTAGAATAGTATTTTAGAGGCCCTTTTTTAGAACCCTATCAGGAACGGTATGTAAATCAATTTCTTTTCCCACCCTATCAGGAACAGTACCGACGATCCATCAGGAACGGTATTTTTGCAGAATATTGTGATCAATTAAAATTTAAGATCAGGTATAACATGCAGATCACCTTTGTATAACAAAAATAATGAGTTTTTAAAAAATTAACTATATTTTAAAATTTTTATTTAAAAAACCATTTTTGTATTTTAATAAAAAAAATTTTCTTGCAAAATTTTAGTATAAACTATATCCTGCCTAATCTTAACCTCAGCTTTAAACCTAATTAAAAATTTTGTTTTTTGTAAAAATTAGATTGTTTTGATTTATGTTATACCAATTTTGTATTTATATATAATAGTATTTAATGTTTTTATGAACTTAATTGAATTAAACTTTTGATCAAGTTCAAGTTTAGCTCAAAATTGAACTAAACTTAAATATTTTTTAAAAAAAATTTAGTTTAAGTTTAATATTAAACTTTTAAGTTTAAGTTCAGTTTAAGTTCAGTTTAAAAATTATAAACATGTTTAAATTCAATGATTTATATATTTTTATTTATTTTGTATATTATTAAAAATAAACTACTATTTTTGGTTAAAAAGTTATACAAAAATATTGCAAGTAGCTTATTTTAGGATAAAAGTAAATTAGTGAATTGTAAAAGTAAATTAGCAAATTTTGTTTAATTGCAAAAGTAAATTGGTAAATTTTGCTTAATTATAAAAATTTTATTAAGTAAATTAATTGTATATATTAAATAAAGTTTGTTTAGAAGATCAAATCATATATTCTAAAAGTTTTATATAAATTAGATAATTTTTATTGATTTTTACATTTAATAAATATAGTTTTTTTGTTAAATTTAACAGGTTGTAATATTGCTTAGTTAGGGTTAAAGTTTAAGCAAGTATTACTGTTGGCCACTACCTACAGTATCTAGAGTCTTATTCAAAAACTCTATTTTTAAAATTGAATAGTATCCATAGAACTGGATACTACATTTGAAAATTTATTATATTAAAAGTGATAAATTAATATAGTTATTCTTCTGGATCTTATTCAAGTAACAAGTCAGTAGAGATAATAAATAATATCTGGGTCTTAATCACGAAGATATTATTTTTAGAGAATACTGTAGGTAGTAGCCAACAGTAGATTAAAATTAAAAAGCATATTTATATACAAAATTAAGTATTGTTATAAATTAAAATAAAATCTGATCAAAATGAAATTTTTTTGTTTTTTAAAATTTTTTGGGAGACATTTTTTAAGGTTTTTTTTAGCATTAGAGGTAGGGTTTAGGGTTAGGTTTATTAATAAATAAGTATATGTAGGTTTTATAGGCTATAAGGGTAGGCATGAGAGGTCCTCAGTTTCATTTTGATCAGATTTTATTTTAATTTGTGATAAGTATTAAAAATCTTTTAATTAAAAGTCTAAGACTAGTTTATATAATGAAATTTTGAGATATTTAAAATTTTGACTTTTTTTTTAAGTTTTTTTAAATTTTTGTTTATTTTTATTATACAAGATTTTGTGATCTAATTGGTCAATTATATTAACTTGCAATATAGCAATTATAATATTTAATATTATTTTAAATATAAATTTTAAAAAGTTAACCAATTTAGTTGATACTTTTAAAATATACAGTATGTATTTTGATCTTCTAAGTAACTTTTACTTAATAATATAGATTAATTTACTTAGTAAAGTTTGATTTTACTATAAAGTAACTACTAATAATTATATATGTAGCTTATTTTTAAGAAAATATCTAATTTTCACTACAAGTAATTATTACCTGTGATTTTTAATATATAACAAAAACAAAAAAATAATTTTTGTTAAAGCAAAAAGTAATATTTTTTATAGTTAGAGTTAGAGTAAGGTTTTTTTTTTTTAATATTAAGGTAACCACTTGGGGGTCTGGCACGTTTTATTAACTTTGGTTGTGAATGTCAAGGCAGCCACAGGACCACCCTGACTTTGTTACATTAACGAGAATACATTCTAGTCATATCTGCGCCTTTTGAATGCTTAATTAAGCAGTTCTCTATTACTAAGTACTATACTAGATGCCGTACCTATAACTCACTATTACTTGAGTTACCTAATTAAACTCTCTAATTAACTTAGCGCCATCAAATATTCTTTCTAAAGAGAAACTGCCACTAAGGCCCCTTAGAACTAATTTATCCTTGTAGTAAACCTACTAAAGCAGTCCATGTCCCACAAACATATATCACCTAGATTTTTTAGTAACTTACGCCTAGGTCGAGACCAAGTACTTGCAGTATTTCTCCGCTACCGTTATCTACTCCTTGCCCTTGCAAAGTTTACTCTACCCCAGCCCTTACTCATCCAATCAGGAACCCTTCCACTGTTTCACCAAACTTCCAATCCAAATAGCCCAGTTTGGTTCACAAGTTATGTTACCTGCTTTCCTACTAGCTTAACCCAGATACTGGCCTGTGCCTTTTTCCTCTGGTCAATTCCAGCGGTCTAGTTGGTATAGTGCTCGCTAAACACCTGGTCCTCATCCAGATCCACAACTTATTGGTTTTCTTTTTAGACTTTTCAGAGCCATCAAAAGCAGTGCTACCTCTCTACTCGGAACTTGCCAAGCAGATTCCTATTCAGGACAAAGTTTAACAGATTTACACAGGTTCCAGGAACTTATTATGGGTTTACACCGTCTTTTATCGGTTTGTATCCCTTTGTATAACTTCTCTATTACATGAATGCTCCAAGATCTTCCAAGTTTGTACTATTACCCCCAATTAGAGATTGCGAAATAAGTCGTCTATTAGGCGATCATTACCCCTTGCACCTATTTGGTCTGACTGTCATTATAGGATCTACATTCCAATATCCAAATAGTCATCAATGCACAGAAGAATTTGATTTTCGTTGTTGATGGAAATTGAACTCTGGATGTGCTACTTGGAGGACGACAACTTGATCACTTCACTAAGTCGCTACACCCCTAGTTAGAGTAAGGTTTGGGATCAAGCAAAAGTATTGTTTATAGTAAAATTTTGTAAAAAATTTTTTTTGTTAGAGCTTCAAAAGTAGTTTTATAAGCAGAATTTTGAAATATAAATAATACAGGTGATAATTACCTGTAGTAAAAATTAGTAAATTTTTATTTTTAAATATAAGAAGCTTTTATATTTTTTTTAAAAAAAGAAAAGTAATTTATTATCAAACTAGCTTATTTCAGCAATATATAGTATATATTATTAAACTTAAACATATTTATAACCTTGAATTGAACTTGAATTGAATAAAAATTTGAGTTCAGATTCAGTTCAAGTTTATAAATTTAAAGTTTAGTTTAGGTTTAGATTTAAAGATTTGTAAATTTAAAGATCAATTTAAATTTAATTGAACCTGAATCTAAATTTAAATTAAACTAAACTAAACTTTGAAATACTATTATTTATATATAAATTTTTATTTTTTATTATATATTATTATAACTTATTAATATCAATCTATTTAAATTAAACAATTATATTGATATATATAAAGATTAATAACAAAAAAATAAATTGATATAATTTAAATTTAATTTTCATCCAGAAATTCAACAACTCTCCCCAACGATCACTCGTACCAAACTTATGGCTAATGAAAACAAAAACTTGTTAGAGAAAAGTAGAAGAGACAACTACAAATAACAGTTTTTACAGAGGTCAAGCACTTCCAGGTTTTCCTCAGACTCCTCTGTATATTCAGTATGCAAGTTAAAAGCGTTTCTGTACAAGATAACTGGCAAAAAGGTGGTGCTCTTGTACAGAATTTTAATAGAAGCTATGCTTCTGCTGACGAAGTTAAAGATAGTTGGTCTAAAGAGAACAACAAGCGAGTTTTCAACACGTTCTTTACCGT